CAGATCCACTGATCCTTCAACACAGAGCATCTTCAGAAGACAAGCTGATAAAATAAATTTATAAAACCTGTCTTGTTCCATACACAGTGTGTATTGAACCTAAAGTACTGTTTGATACAGGTACATGTATTGTTGCATCCCTATAATTCAGGTAATTTTCCAGAGTTCAGATGGAATTGAACAGTTGCTCATCTCTAACACATTGATCATGACGGCCTGTTTTCATGAGATTCCTCGTATTTTCAAGGTTTGACCAAAACGGCTGCAACTTTTTTCCAGTGGATCTTTTAGTTTAGAGAAATGCATTCCACCAACAAGTGCTGAATCTTTAATTTGAGCATAAAATTGAGAGATAAACTTGTCAGAAATGGCTTAAGGTCATTTTMGTGTCCAGTTGGTGCCGGACACGTTCTTTTGTTAAGATTGTTTCACCATGTATGACCTGATTCAGCGTCTCCACTGATCTGTGAAATGATGCAATGAAAGTGTAATCAGTCATACAAAGTATCTGTCAGTGAGTTTAATTTATACAGATTTAATAAATGCAGGTGCAAATATATACTTTGTGCAGTACAAAAACAAATACAAGCTGTACATTTACACATTCATCCAGTCAGCCACAGAACAAATTAAATGCTWACAGTCAACATACATGATGCTTCTTCTGTTTAAAACATGGAAAATACAACAATAAATGTGTTTCAGTAAATAAAATATAGTTTTATGTAGTTATAAACAAGCATAGTGTCGTACTGGAATAAAGCATCTGGTGTTTGTTGACATTCAGTTTGATACATGAGTCAAAGTTCAGTCCTGATCAACAGGCTGTGAAGTACTGTGTCCCTCTGTGTAATACTGCAATATTTATACCAAGTACAGGGACCAGAAGTACTGTGTCCCTCTGTGTAATACTGCAGTGTAATACTGCAGCATTTATACCAAGTACAGGGACCAGAAGTACTGTGTCCCTCTGTGTAATACTGCAGTGTAATACTGCAGCATTTATACCAAGTACAGGGACCAGAAGTACTGTGTCCCTCTGTGTAATACTGCAGTGTAA